CCCCCCCCCCCCCCGCCGCACACATTCCTGATTTGATTACAACTTTGTACTCATTGGATATTCAAACCTAACTCAATCGTATAGATTATATACCTTATTGCAAGTTACCATCCTGGAGCGTTATTACGTTTGTTATTGCTCCATGTGTCCCATTTCCCTTTGAAGTAGCAGCTTGAATAGCGACAGAATAGGTAGTAAACTCGTTCAAACCATTTAATACTGTGCTTCTGTTGTTAACATCATTAAGTCTTTTCGTGACAGAACAGATATCATTTGAAGATGTTTGAGGTTTATAACATACAAAGTAGTGAGTTATATTTCCATTGGTATCCTCTGGAGGTACCTCTCCCCATGTAACGGCGATTGAAGTGGAGCTGATTGCATTAATCTGTGTGATATTAGGTCCACTTTTAGGTACTTAAAAGAAAGAAATATTTATGACTCTTTGCCCAACAAGCATAAAATCATTATAAAATAACCGTATGCCCTCGTCCCTAAACAAACATATCATATGAACGACAGGCACTGTTTACGCGCTTATCTCCATTACGTATTGTGTTGGCTAAATCACTAAATGGGGTCAGAAACACTACTTTAAAGCAGACTGCGCCAGCTTAATTCCTGAGACACGCGCGTAGCGCGAAGGGCAAATCCGTGGCGAGGGTGCCGATTTCGAAAGGCTATATTCATACCCAGAAAAGGAAAGCTAGCAGATTGAAAGTTCATCAATGATTTACTCGAATTTGGACGTCATGATGTGCCGTGAATTTGTGAAAAGGTGGGTAAATACTATTTTTATGTAATTTAAAAAAGAAACTGCATGCAAAGGCGAAGTAAACTCGTTTTATTCATTAAAAAACTGATTTTCGATGCCTGATGCCTTGATTTTGCCTGCAAAATGTACTAAACAAAGGAAGAATAAATATTGATAGTTATGGGTCACATTGTTTTAACCATGCATGTTTTAAATTTTAAATTTTATTCTTGAATCATAAAAATCGCGGATAATAGGGATAAAACATGGATCCGGAAATACGAAATTACGGAAACGGAAAAAGGGATAAAACGCGGAAATTTGTATTTTTCGCTAACACACAACTTTTGCTAAATAATGTCGAGACTTCAGGAATTATAATTTTACTGCCTCGTCCCCAGTCGCTTGCTATCAAATAATTAAATGTGTTTATGCAATAAAAATAGTTAACTTCTAGCACGAGTTGTGTTGTGGGTCGTTATAATATGTAAATTATGCATTTATGCAGGGTTCAATTTCATTGACCAATCAGAAGCAGTCTGTTGTCAGCGGGCGGGAGTTAGCCATTTGCTATACTCACGGGCTGTGCTCACTTGCATACTGCTTCTCACACTGTGAACTCGATTTTGGTTTTCTATTTTTGTTTTTCTGGGGATTCTTGTGCTTCGTTTTGGGTTTTGGCTTCTATCTTGGATGCCTCGGCTCACTAATAATAGTCTGTCCAGTTGTTCTGGAACGGATTTATCGCTTTCGCCAGTCCATAGCGATGTTATTTCGTCGGCTTCTACATCAATTGCATCCGCGGGTTTGGTTT